CTGGGTCCTCCTGCTGTGACCCTGTCACCTCCTGCCACCTCCCACTGGGCCAAGCTCCCCAGCGTCACCTCCCACCTTGGTGTCACCCTTAATTGCTCACGCTCCAGCAGAGGTGGTAGGAGGGGGTGTATCCCCCCCGGACCCCCTCCCTGCTCACCCACCTCCACCAAGAAGTCCCGCAGGGCCACGAAAGTGGGTCGGTCCTCGGGCTTGTGCGCCCAACACTGCAGCATGACGTTGTAGACATCCCGGGGACAGTCCTCGGGTCGCGGCAGCCGCTCGCCCGCTTTTTCTATCTTTGTCGGTTGTCTATCTTGTGCAGAATCTGTGGGGCAGGGGGTCCTGTCAGGGGATCCTGGGTTCCCCCCAGCACCGCTGGGTGAGGCAGGGGGGCAGCTCCCTGCTGTGCACCCACCTGGCTGCCGTTGAGGCCAATCCAAGGCTCCTGCCCGTAGGTGAACATCTCCCAGAGGGTCACCCCGAACATCCAGGTGTCACTGGCATGGGAGAAGGTGCGCGTCTTCAGGCTCTCGGGAGCACACCTGTGCGGGGAAGGATGTGAGCATCAGGAGCTCGTGGGTGCTGCACCCCCAGGTCCTCCCCTCCCCGGGGCTCACCAGGCGAAAGGGACCTTGCGATGCTCCTGCATCACATAGTGGTCATCATTTTTGGGCAGGGCGCGCATCAGCCCGAAGTCCCCGATCTTGACCAGCTCATTGGAGGCCAGCAGGATATTGCGGGCGGCCAGGTCACGGTGGATGAAGCGCTTGGACTCCAGGTAGGCCATGCCCTTGGCCACCTGGATGGCATACTGGCAGAGGGTGGAGATGAGGAAGTGGCCCTGGTTCTTCCGCAGGCGGTCCAGGAGGGAGCCCAGCGGGGCCAGTTCCGTCACCTGGGCCACAGGGAGGGGACAGCAGGTCAGTCAGCAGCAGGTCAGTCAGGCCACAGGCACACTGGTTGGGCTGGTTTCCAGCCTTCTTGTGCCCCCCTGGGAATGCCAGCAGAGGACTCGGGGTATGGATGCAGCCTAGCTTTGCCTGTCCCACCATGCAGGACCCCCACGGAGCAGCATGGGGGTTGACCCTGTCCCCCCACACTCACCATTTTCATGGGGTGGGAGAGCACCACGCCGTAGAGGCGGATGAGGTTCCTGTGGTCCAGGGAGTGCATGGCGTTCACCTCCCGGATGAAGTCGTCCAGTGCCTCCGGCTGGCTCAGCACGTCTGTCTTGAGGCACTTCACAGCCACGTTCAGCTACAGCCAAAGCAGGGATGAGCCCTGAAGCATCTTCCCCTCCCTGTTGGCCCCACTGCCCAGCTCCCCCCGACCATAAGCAGCCCCTCACCGTCTTGCCGGCAGGCGTGCACCACTCGCCGCGACGCACGACGCCGAAGGAGCCATCGCCCAACTTCTCGAAGAGCGAGAGGTCCCGCTCCCGCACGAGGCAGGTGAGGGAGTGCTGGCCCCCGGCTTCGGGGGGCGGTGGCGTGGGGGACTTGCGGAAGGTGCTCTGGGGCTGGGGCGGCAGCTCCGATTCGGGGCGCTTCCCGCTGAACACCTGCAGGACATGGAGGTGGGTGAGACGTAGGTGCAGAGATACCCCGGGTCCTTGGGTCTGCAAGTGAGCGGTGTTGGGATGACCCCCTGCTTGGGCTGTACACTCTGGAGCCTAATGATGACCCCTAACTGGTCATTACTCAGGGCAGGCTGAAGCAAGGGGTGGAGGGAAGGGGCCGTGACTCTCACAGTGGCCATGCAGCAGTTCTTCAGTAGCCCTGGCAAACCAGGCCAGTAGCCAGAGTGCCCTGGGCACTCCTTGGCAAAGCTCTGGCCACACGATGTGCCTGGGCACGAAGCCAGGAGAAACCTCTAGCTCGGGCTGAGCTCTCCCTGACTCTCCCCCAGCCAAGACCAATGATGTGCCCCAAGGGACAGGGTCCACCCCAGCTCTGGCAGCTGGGACCCACGCGGGGTGTGCGGGGGCCGGGCCCAGCATGTGGCTGGGGTGGGAGGTGGCATTTCTGTGCCCGGTGCGAGGCTGAGTCGCCTTCTATTAAAAGCCTAGCCCTGTCCCTGTCTTGGCCCAGATGAGTCACGCAGGGGAGAGGCCACAACCTGGCACTCAACTGGCAAGCACCCCGCTCTTTTGGGGGTGCAAGTTGCTGGGGGTGCCAGGGTAGCAGCAGCACCAGCTTTGGATGGGATGACATCGGGGCACAAGTGTGCATCCTGGATCCCCTGCTCCGCTGCACTCCCAGCCCCTGTGGGCACAGGGCTATGCCCCCTAGCCACGAGGTGGGCAGGGGGCTGAGCAGTGCTGCTGCCCACGGAGTCGGCTGGGGTGAAAGGCACGGGCTCCGTGACTCCTTAGCTGCAAAGGAGTTTCCTGGCAAAAAAAGCAAATCACGCGAGGGGGATGAATTTCACGAGTGCTGGGGTGACAGGGCTGTCCTTTGCTGGGAAGTGGCCCAGGAGCCTGCACAGGGCCAGAGGGCTTGCTGGCAGGGTTACGCTGCAGGCCGGACACGCAGCAGGAGCTTGTGCCCATCTCCCTGCCAGTTCCCAGAGACTGGAGGTGTGAGGACAGCCATGCACCAGGGAAGAGCATGGGGAAAGGTCCAGCTCCTCCTCTGCCTCAGTTTCCCTGCCCCTCTCCCATCCCTACCTTGCTCATCCACGACTTCCGCTTGCACATGGCTTTCCTGCGCTTCACTGCCTCCCACAGCCGCCGCTGGCCTGCAGGACATGGGGACACAGCGACTGTCACCAACCCAGCACAGGGAGGGTGTCCTCTCCAGCCCCAGAGACCGCACGCTCCTCTGGGCTCCCCAAAAGATGTTGCGCAGCCAGCCTGGGGCATGGGGGGAGGTTTGGGGTGGACATACGCACCGGGGCGCCCCATGCCGATCTTCTCCAGATCCTCATTTTTGACGTACTCGAAATGGGAGAGGCGGGTGACGTTGAGCTCGTCCCGGAT